GTGCACTGCTGGTGGGGATGCGAATTGGTGCAGCCACTAAGGGAAACAGTGGGGAGTCGCTTCAAAAACATTAAAAAAGAGGTACCGTATGACCCAGGAATCCCCCTTTTGGGTATCTGCCTGAACATTTTAAAAACACGTGTGTGTGTGTGTGTGTTGCAGCACTGTCCACAACAGCCAGACATAGAAACAACCAAAATGTCCTTTGACGGACGGATGACTGGGTAAAGAAGATGTGGCACATATGTACGACGGAAAACTACTTGGCCATAAAAAGATGAAATGCTGTCATTTACAACAACATGGATGGATCTTAAGGGGGGTATGGTAAGTGAAAAATCAGACGGAATAGGTCAAGGTCCATATGACTTCTCTCATGTGCGGGCTATGAATCTGAAAGCAACAAACAAAACAACAAGCCCGTGGATGCAGACCACAGCGTGGTGGGTTCCAGGGGGCGGGGGAATGAAGAGGGAAAGGGGGTCGATGCATGGTGTCAGCAGGAGGCTGACTAGCTCGGGGTGGTGAGCCCGCAGCAGAGTGTACAGATGCCGGGTTATAATGCTGCACAGCTGAAATTTATATAATGTTATTAACCAATGTTATGCCCAATACATTTAATTTTAAAAAGAAAGAAAGGAAACGTCCTCCATGCTGGTGGTGTCTTCACTGACGTTGACCCCAGGAAGGGTGCCGGGAGGGAGCCCGGTCCTCAGGCAGCACGGCAGCCTGAGCCGCTGCCCTTCCATTGGAAGCCGGGTGCCATCAGAAACTAGAGCGGGTGGGTTCCCCTCTGCAGGGCAGGAGTTTCGGGACAGGGTCGTGGCAGCCTTTTTTTTCCCGGATTATGGTAGAGACACCGGCTCATTGTAAAAAAAAAAAAAAAAAAAAAAAATACAGACCGTACTGTGCGGGTTTTTCTTCAGAGTCATTAAATACTTTTCTGTGTCATGAAATACATTCTGCAGATCTCATTGGCATGGTGCACAATAGCCACTTTTAAACCATTTTCTCATCCTCAGACACTTGTGCCCGGTCCTTCGCTGTTTCAAGTGAGCCCGGTGACGCGCTGCACGGCAACCTCCGTCCAGGCTTCGGAGCTTCAGCAGGGCTCCTTCTGGGCCGAAGGGAAAGGCGCTTCGTGTTTTAAAACGTGGGCAGTTGAAGGTTACTGATGCCGCGCTGCTATTTTCCACGTTGGCATGGGGGGCCCTTAGCAGAGAAAATAAAACAGTGAGAAATACTGGGTTTGAATCAAAAGTCAAGATTTGCCGTCTGGGTTTTCTACCGCTGTTCCCTGGCCCGTGGTCTTGGGCAAGTCCCTCCGACTCCTCAGCCTCCGCTGTTAAATAAAACCACCAAATTTCAAACACTGTAAGTTTGTACAGAGGGCAGGCTCTATAAAAGCGGAGGGCTGCGTCTTTTCCCTTCTTCTGTGGGACAGAATTCTTTTCATTTCAAATGCTCTATTCTGCCAGGTGGCCCCATGAGTTTGCCTCTGGGGCCCCCGCCCGCGCCGGCCAGTGCGGGGCCCTGCCGGCAGCGAGATTCCAGCAGGGGCCCGAGAATCCGAGCCGGAGGAAACCAGGTTTGACTGCAGAGGCCTCCGGCTCCTTCCGTGCTCCTCTGATCGTCCACATCACCGAGAGGTGCGCAGTGGTCCCTGCGTCAAGATCCCACGCCCAGAAATTCGTCCTGAGCCCCAGAACCGCCCTGCCCAGCTGAGCTGCTAAACAAGACCTGAGAAGTTTCACCACCTAGAAAATGGGGCTGCCGGACGATACATCTTAGAGTTACCCCGAGGCTCGAAATAAAAATGAAACCACATGTGTGCAACCACCTAATAAACCCTAAAACTCAAACAGCCACACGCCGCTGTTTGGGTGACAGGCGAGGGGCTGGACCGGGATGGGAGTAAACGCAAAGGAAACAGGCAGCACGGCCTGCTTGCTGCTGCGCGACCGGGTTACCCCGCTGAAATGGTGGCCACCTGGGGGAACCAAAGCCCGACCAAACGGGAGCCGGAGTTTGCAGCACAGAGGGAAGGGGTATGAGCTGAGGAAACGATGCCAAGCCTTGAGTCACAGGGGAGCCGGAACTCTGACTCTCGGACGGCTTCTCGGGGATTGGTTCTATGGGGGGAAATCATCTATGGGAGTTAGGGGCGTGGTCTCCACTGATCTGTCGGCGCTAGGGCCGGGGGTCACCGATCAGAGCTCTGGTCCTGGCGTCACTCTCTCTGGCTTCACGGGGGGTGTGGTGGGCCTGAGGCTGAAACACAACTGAAGCCTAGGTGTTACCTTTAGTTGGACTAAGACTCTGTCTCTGAGGTTCACAGACCCCAGTCTTTGTTCCTAAGATTATTTGATGCTGATCAGAACCTCATTGTCCTGAGGGCTTCCTGCTAAAAGGAGTGGACGTTCTGCTGCAGAGGGAGGAGGGAGAGTCAAGGTGCTCCTGGGTTAGAAAAGGCCAATATGAATCAAGAGGAAAGAAGGAGAAAAGGTCAGATAAAGAAATGAAGTTTTTGCACCATTACAGGTGAACGGTTTGCCTATAGTTAATTAGCAATGCCATAAAGAATCGAGAGTTTTCCAAGTGTATTTGGCTCCAGAACTTTTGGTTTGTGTTGCACCTAGTCACACCTACACATTTGGAAACCCAGGTTTTATCATTTGGTTTCCCATAGAACAGAAGGCCTGTAAAGGCAAGCACGTTGTCTTGCACTCAGCCGCACCCTCGGGACACAGAACAGCTGCCTGCACTTAACAGGTGCCCAATAAAGTGTATTGCCTGATGAGTATGCTTTGTTAGGCTTCTGTGAAACCAGACTCAAGTTTGCCAGGTGGGGTCAAACAAGGCTTTCTATGGCACTGCTAGTGAAAATGTAAATCTGTTAAAACTTTTGAAAGCAGAACGGATCGCAGACTTTTCAAATGCTCACACTCTGCGCCTGTTGTGCCTGCTGGGAATTTATCTGGAGTGATCCTAAGTATAAAGGGAAAAACATTTGCATCTAAAAATGCTCAGGAGTTGCAGTAGTGTTTAAAATAGCAAAAAAAAAAAAAAGGGGGGGGGGACCATATGAATTATGCTCAAAATTCATTGACTAAAGTTAAGGCTATCCATTTAATGGGTTATTCTGCAGCCATTCAAATAATATTGTCAAACAAAGTAAAGAAGACTGGAGGTTTTTCTACAAATAAAATGATAGAGACTTATTCAAGGGTCCAGGGTCTGCAAACTGGGAACACAGGCAGGCAAAAATCCAGGAGCACCCAGAGAAGAAAGAAAAGTCAAAGGTTGTTACAGCAAAACGCATGCTCTCAAGACCGGTCAGTCCTGCGTTCCTCGCTACGGCTGTGGTCCGGGATGGTCACCAGTCAGGTGTCAGGCAGCGAGGATGACGGTGCCAGGCGGCACAGAAGGTGGGCGCCGGGAGGTCTGGTCACAGCCAGTGGCCTGGATAGTGGGTGTCAGGCAGGTACATAGGGGTTAACTAGAGTGCTGTCTGGAGGCCTACTGTCTGTCCACGTGCATCCCCAGGCACCAACACAGGGCTGGAAAGCTGGAAACAATTCAGATTCCCAAAAGGCAACTTAGAACAAGAACGAGGTCTCTCCTCAGGCCTTAACCTTCATCGTGTTAGCAATTTTAGCAGCTCGGTTAAAGTGACTCTTTTATATATTCCCTGTCATCACTCTCTCCTCAATGTCTATAAAAATTATATAACTTGGAAATGCCCTTATATTGTAAGCAGGCATTCACAAACCATATATAATTTAGTATCCTTTTTTCCCCTCATGTATTAAGGGAAAAGACAAGGTACTAAATTATATACAAATTGTGAATCTGTATATGTAATAAAAATAAACACAAAATAAAGAACGAACGCTATTGAGTGGCACTGTGTCAAGCAGTTATTCTAAATACTTTACATATATATTAACCTCTCTGTTCTTCCTAACAACCTGTAAGGCAGGTGCGATGATATGTAATACCCATTTTATAATAAGAAAACTGAAGCACAGAGAAGTTATAGAACTGGGCCAAGGTCACCAAAAGGACTGGGATTCAAGCCTGGGCAGCTCAGGCTACTGCCTGAAAAAAGTCCTGGGAGACAACACGGCCAGATGTCAACAGCAGCTGCCTCTGGTGATGGGAACGAGGACGATTACATTCCTTCCACTTTTTTGCATTTTTACATGTTTTTTGTAATGATGAGAAAAACTACACTCTAAAAGGATAAATTAATGAATTAATCTGTGCTCCTATAATAAATGTGAGCAGGTAAAAATATTTTAATTGGCCACAGGACCCCATTGTTGGAGCCAGGTAGCTCCAACTCTGCACTCTGCGGGCCCATTCTATTCTGTAGGGAAGAGAAAGTTAGAGTGAGCTCCATTGAGGGGGAAGCAGGCGGAACGTAGGCTGTTTTTGTGAAGGCCAGTGTTGGGCCCTCGGTTTCAATGTCGCACTTGCTCAAACCCCAGTTCTACTTTAGGGTCTGATTGTCGGATAATCACTCTACCCACAGAGTTGCAGTACTCAGGGGAGATGGGGCGGGATAGAGGGTGCAGTGGTGGTGATGAAGGGGCATTTGGGGCTATAAAGTTCGGGTTTTTTTCTTTTTGTTTTTTTGGTTTTGGTTTTCTGGGGGGGGGTTTGTTGTTGTTGTTTTTTAATTCAGCGCGAGGAACTGGACTTGATACACCCTTTGGCGTGGTTGGAAGGAGTAAGGATGCTAATGATGCTAGTGGGGAACGCGACATGGGACAAATGCCACCGTATTTACCTAAACGGAAATTTGAAAGCTATGGACAATTAATACATTCTACAGTAAGGGCACTTGGTTACGCAAGGAGTTTTGTTTTCACCTGCTGAGCCCACCAACCTCACCCCTAACCAGGTAGTTTACCGTCGCTAAGGACTACAACTCCCAGCCCGGGGGAGGTCCCTGCGCATGCGGCCTGGAGACGTACGCCTACATTTCCCAGCGGGCCGAGCGGCTACGCTGACGCACGCCGGCGCCCTTCCGTCTCTCTCCCAACTCGGGTTTGACCTACAGCTGCCCGGGAGAAGATGGCCTCCCCAGCGGTGTGCGGGCTCTCCCGGCAGGTGAGACTGGAGGTCCTGAAGGCCAGCGGGAGGACCCTTCCCAGGGTGACCGTACCAGAGCCCTGGAACCACGGTGCGAGGCCACAGCTGGCGGAGCGTGGTCGCCGTTCAGGGTCGTGGGGCCCGGCGAGTGGGAGCGACCCAAGGAGCTCGGGCGGCCCCGCACCCGCACCCGGGACGTCGCGGGCAAGGGGGCGCGGGGGTGCGGGGGTGCGCGCGCCTGACCCGGGCGTCCCCCGAGCACGGCTCCGGGCAGTAGGCTTGAGGGTCCAGGAGCTGAGGGCCCGGCTTCCCCGGATGGCGAGCGAAGGGCACGGCCCGCCCCCAGGTCATCGCTCCTTGCCGTTGTGCGTAGACCGGTCAGGGGTCACAGGAATGTTAAGGAATATTTGTAAGGCCCATCTCACGATTGAGTACGGCAAATGAAGCAGAGATGTTTAAACGCTCCGTCCTTGGCTGCTCGGCCAGGAAGGGGTAGAGCTGAGGTCCAATTCCACGAAGTCACACGGAAGATAGGAAATTCTTGCCCTTGATACTATATATCCACATGATGCTTTATCTGGTGGGACCCCTGGCAGCTCACGTAACTTTCCCCGAAGTGTTGCAAAGTTTGGTGATCCTCACGGCCAGCTTTATGGTTGAACACTGCGGAGCTGGAGTTGCTTGAAGGTGACTGTGCCCCTGCGGGTGGCTTTGAAAGAGCCGAATCCACGCTGCCCCTCCGTAGACGAGGTGCCGTTTGCCGGCACCGGAGCCCGTGCCCACACCAGACCCTGCTTCCTACGCGGGGCTAGACTTTCTTTTCAGACAGCATTTGGGTTCTGAGAACGTACACCTCTTGCAAATCATGACTGGAATCCTGCTTTTATTAAAATCCTACTCAGGGGTGGTAATATGAATGCTAAGAAACCTTTAAATTTTTCGAAACACTTAATCATCGAAATCAGTGTCTTTACATTGGCGTCCCCCCCCTCCGGTTGCCCTAGCAACGAGGCTGGCGCTGGGAGGGCAGGTCCTCAGGCAACTTCTCGGCAGGGAGATTTACTCCCAGTAAAGAGCAACGCACCCCACTGGGATCTGTGTGATGATACGAAGGAATGGGAGAAACTCACCATGGAGAAGTCAGGTTTAATTTTTTTTATTTTTCTAAATGCAAAAAATTCTTCAAATCTTAATTTGATCTGCTTTCCTTTGTATTCAAGGTGCGATGCTTCAGCACATCTGTGGCCAGGCCGTTTGCCAAACTTGTTCGGGTAGGTCAGCTTATTTTTCATTTTAAAGCAGAGACAGCAGCAGTACCTTCAGGGCATGGACTTCTGTTCTGTTCCTGCCTGAACCGTTCTGCGCGATTGTCGTTCCCAAGTCGGGTTGTGTGCGGGGAGCTAGGGAGCAGATCCTTCGATGCCTGCTGTGTGACAGGCCCCTACGTGGCCTTTGGATAGGAGAACCCCTGAAACCCCAGAACAGCGATGGCAAGTAACTGGTCTTCCCATTTTGCAAAAGAGGAAACTGCGACTCTGGAAGACTTGTCCACAGCCCTGGAGCTAAATGTCACTCAAAGCACAGCCGCCCAGCAAGGCGGCCCCGCGCCGGCGGCCCTGTGCAGGGAAAGCTTGCAATTCGTTCGGGAAAGTCAGGCAAGCATCGGGCAAATAGTAACCTGCTAAAGGGCGCCACTGAACCGAACGTTGATGCGGAGGCTCCATACGAGATGCTTACTGTAGCGCTATGACGTGTATGAAGTGTGCTTGTATGTGTTTCATAAACACCTGTTTCCGTGGCGCTGACATGTTCAGAACTGCCTCTATCCGTGTTAAAAACCTCCTGCACTTGGAATCCAAACTGACTAGCATTGCATACAAAAGAAGTATAAGCTCATCTCAAAATTAACGTAATTAATTCTAAATAGTTATGCTGAAAGGGACGTTAAACATCATGTTTCCTAAGGCGCTTGCTATAAGGTGAGGAATTGGAAGCTCAAAGATTGCCCCAGCCAACGAAATACTTCTCATTTATTTGACAGTTGCCTTTCGGGATAGCTCTCTGGCAACATGGTTAAACTTTTGTGCTAATACAAGATGTATTTTTTTTTTTTTTAAGATTTTATTTATTCATCTTTAGAGGAGAAGGGTTGAGGAGAGAGAAACATCAATGTGTGGCTGCCTCTTGTGCACCCCCTACTGGGGACCTGGCCTGCAATCCAGGCACATGCCCTGACTGGGAATCAAACCCGCGACCCTTCGGTTCACAAGTTGGTCCTCAATCCACTGAGCCACGCCAGCCAGGGCACAAGATGTATTTTTAAAATTATAACTTTAATTTTGCTATTGACAGTATAATGTTGTCTTAACTGATTTGCCTTTTCCTTTCCTCCCTGCCCCACCTTTTTTTTAAAGCCGCCCGTTCAGGTGTATGGCATCGAAGGTCGCTATGCCACTGCTCTCTACTCTGCGGCATCTAAACAGAATAAACTGGAACAAGTAGAAAAGGAGTTGCTGAGAGTAGCAGTAAGTAGCTTTTCTGTTAGTTACTTTTTAAGTTCCCATTGTATATTTTTTCCTTTAGTTGTTTAATTATGGGTCCCAAAGGAGGTATATCCTCGGAGAAGAAGTGGAAAAAGAAAAAGAAAAAGAAAAACCCTATTTTCTGGAATCATGTTGATGGTAATAGTACTGGGTATTATTATTCTGAGTCTATTGTATAATAGGTAGAGGTACATATAAGGATATTAATATTAGAACCAAGACTTAGGCTAAAAGAAGAAATAGAAATACGAGCTGGTAATACAAGAAAATTACCATTTCAAAAGAGAAAGAAAAAGATACCTTTGAAAACCTGTGCTTTTATTCCAGGCATTTTCAAAACAGTCTTTAGAAAATATTATGATTTTGTTTTACTGGGAATATATTTTCCTTATGAAGCTTTTCCTTGGTTTTTGTTATTTTATTCCCAAGATGGGAGGGGACATGACTGAGCCAAGCGCCCTGGGCAGCAAAATGAGTGAAGTGCGTGCGTTCCACGCAATGCCACAGCTGAGCAGAGACAAGACAGGCCAGCAGGCTGCAGGGGGAGGTTCCCCTCTTCTTAACACGGAAAGAGTAAACGAGCTGAGTTAACCAAAGCCTGCGCTGCAGCCTAAGTAGGAGAGCCTCTTCTGAGACTCCGCTGACCTCCCTGGCTCCCAGTCCGTACACGGTCTCCTGCGTCCCCTCCGGTGGCCTGCGGTTGCCACCCCCCGGCGGGAAGTTCTGCATTAAAAGAGGAGAGGAAAGTGCAGCCTGGGATGCTCTGGAGAAAGTTGTGCTCTTTTTTTATTTCGTTGTAGACTTTCCTAGGCTTTTTAATCCACAGATGTCTGACATTGCCGATTGGGGAAAAGCCTCCCAGGCGAGTCGTGTAGACAGTGCTTAGGGTCTGTGTCAGTGTGAACGGCCCCTACGGTCCTCTCGGGCCCTGCCTAGGGGACAGGCGGGGTGGTGGCAGGAGCAGGCAGGGTGGCACACAGGCATTTCGGGAGGTGACGGTGGTTGCCCACTACTTGGCATTCCCGTCTTAAAGCTGAAGTGTGGGGTGCACAGCAGAGCGGGCGAGCTGGGCTGGGGGCGTTGGGAGGGGCACGGCTGAGAGGGGAAGCCCGCGAGGACTGGAGCCATGGGAAGGAGGCGGGGGCCTTCAGACTCCTTGCAAGTGACAAGGAGCATTTGGGGGCACAGAGAGGAAAGTGAGATGCTACAAAGTGTGGCTGACCGTCCACGGGACAACCCAAACCCCAGAGCGCTTCCGATCTGTGTGAGCCAGCCGCGTTTCTGGAGAACGGTTGTCTCCCGCGGGCCACTCGGGCGGCAGATTTCACGTTAGATGGTGGTGGGTCAGAGGCGGGGCTCCGGCCGGGCCCCGGGGAAAGGTGGCCCGCACAGTAGCTGCAGAGGGAAGCAGCCGTTGGTCCCTGAACGCAGGCCTCGGTGACTTACCAGGTGGAGACAGCGTGGTCTCTCATGGTGCCGAATCTCCCACTTCTTGGCTGTTCTCGCCCCAGACGGACAGAGGCTGCTCCAGAAACCCTGGCGGCCCCAGGCTGGGTGGGAGCTCCGGAAGGGGCAGCAGAGAATCAGGGCCACCCCGGACGGAGGCGCCCCCTCTGGGTGAGGGGCACCTTCCTCGGTCTGCCCTGGGGCACTGCCCGTGTTAAATCCATCACCGTGCACGGTGAAGGGGGTCTTTGGGCAGCTTGCTCTTTTATATAATCTCAAAAAGCAAAAATAAATTTTAAGAAATTTCATAAAGTGTCTAAATTTTTTCGAGGAACATTGTATCCTATGTAAAAGCATGGTATGGTGTATTCTTAAAGGCAGAGAAAATTAATTGACTGTAAACTATTCTTTATCTGCTTTGAGAGTGGGGATTGAATTCACAAAGTGCATGATTCATAGGAAAGTGTGTGTGCTGGCTAGGACCATTTATGCTCCTGAGAGGTTACGAAATTATTTTTTGGCACTTTTAGCAAATCTTAAAGGACCCCAAAATCGCTGCTTCGATTATGAATCCCTACATAAAGCGTTCCATTAAAGTGAAAAGCCTGAACGATATGACCGCAAAAGAGAAGTTTTCTCCCCTCACGTCGAACCTGATCAGTAAGTATCAGACCTTTTCCACTGACGTCTTTGCAGGTTTTGCTCTTGGGAGTGTGGCCAGGGGCTCGGGGCGAGGGGCGAGGGGCTCAAGCCTCAGGCCTCGCGGCCCTCGCCCCAGCCTGGTCTTCACCAGCCCCCCGGTGAGTGTGTGCCTTAGAGACTGGGGAGCACGGCCTCGCCCTGGCCGGGTGGCTCAGGGTTGGGGCTTCCTCCTGCTGCCGAAAAGCTGTGAGGCTGGTCCCCAGTCGGGGCGCGCGTGGCGAGCGGCTGTCAGTGTTTCTCCCCGCCGCCTCTCTCTCTCTCCTCTGAAATCAATAAACATATCCTCAGGTGAGGATTAAAAAAGAAAACGTTGAGGAGCACTGTCTAAAGGTATTAGGATGTAATAATGTCTAATCTCATAGTGCTTCAGTCCATGTAGCCAGTGGCTGTGCCTCTGTCCCTGAAGATTTTTGCATTCTTGTCATTTTTTAATATAGACAGTGTTTGAGGATTTGTAACCAAACATTGGAATCTGTAACATAAATATGGAAATCAGATTGCAAGCTGTGATCAAAATACCAAACTTTGAAAGAACTAACACTTATTCTTCTGAAACCATTCCAGAAAATTCAGGAAGAGGGAAGACTCCCAGCCAGGTTCATTTTATGAGACCAGCATTAGCTAATTCCAAAACCAGACAAAGGCACTGCAGAGAAAGGAAATGATAGGCCAAAGTCTCTGATAACCATAGATGCTAAAATCCTCACCAAAATATAGCAAACGAATCCAGAAATACATTTAAAAGATCATACATCATGATCAAGTGGGATTATTCTGGAGATGCAAGCCTGGTACAATATCCACAAATCAATAAACATGATACACCACATAAACTAAAGGATAAAAATATCATATCAATAGGTGCAGAAAAAGCATTTGATAAAATCAAATACCCACTTATGATAATAACAAAGTGGTAACAGGGAACACACCTTAATGTAATAAAGGCCACACATGACAAACCCACAGCTGGTATCCTATTCAATGGACAAAAACTACAAGTGTCTCCCATAAGATTGAGAACAAGGTAGGCGTGTCAGCATTTACCACTCTTACTCAACATAGTACTGGAAGTTCTACCCACAGGAATCAGACAAGAAGAAGAAATAAAAGGCATCCAAACTAGAAAGGAAGAAATAAAACACTCGTTATTTGCAGATGACATGATACTATATAGAGAGAACCCTAAATATTGCACCAAGAAACTACTAGAACTAATCAATGAACTCAGTAAAGTAGCAGAATACAAAGTAAGTATTGAGAAATTAGTTGCATTTTTCTACATCAATAATGAACTGTGAGAAAGGAAAACTAAGAAACCCGTTTACAATCATATCAAAAAATGAAATACCTAGGAATAAATTCAACCAAGGATATAGAAGACCTCTACGCAGACCCTAAAAAAAGAAATTGAAGATACAAATAAGTGGAAGCATATACCGTGTTCATAGACGAAAGAATTAACATAAAATGTCCATACCAAAGCAATCTATAAATTAAGTGCAGTTTTCATCAAGATGCCAATGGTGTATTGCACAGAACTAGAACAAATAGCCCAAAAATGTATTTGGAAGCAAACCAGCCCCCCCGGAGCCATAGCAATCACGAGAAAGAACAGCAAGGCTGGAGGAGGTGAGCTGCCTGCCGACGGGCAGCTCCACAAGGCCACGGTCTCCGCAACGGCCCAGCGCTGGCTCAGAGGCAGACAGGCTGACGGGTGAACGGCGCCCAGGGATCAGCCCGCGGCTTTACCGTCAATTAGGATTTGACAGAGGAGGCAGGAACACGCAGTGGGGCAGAAACAGTCTGTTCTGTACATGGTGCTGGGAAAATGGGACAGATGTGCAAAAAGTGAAACTAGGCAGCCACCTCAGCACCACACACAAGAATAAACTCAAAAGGGAGTAAAGGCTTAAACTTGAAAACCATAAAAATGCTAGGAAAAACAGGCAGTAAAATCTTGGGCATTTCTTGTAGCGATGTTTTTTTTTAAAAATATATATTTCCTTGGGCAAAGGAGACAAAATAAGTAAACAGGACTAAATTGAACTAGAAAGGTTTTGCCCAGCAAAGAAACCATTAACACAATGGAAAACCACCCACTGAGTGCAAGGACATGCTCACCGAAGACGCACCTGGCAAGGGGCTACAATCTAAAACCTGTAAAGAACTTACACAGGCCCACACACGGTGGAATTAAAAACCAGGCCAGGGACCTCAATAGACACTTCTCCAGAAAGGACATACGGATGCCTAACAGAAGTGAGAAGATGCTCAAGGTCACTCATCAAAGAAACGCAAATTAAAACCTCAGTGAGATGTCCCCCCACGCCTGACAGAATGGCCAACATCAGTACATCAACAAACAGCAAGTGCGAGGATGTGGGGGAAGGGGGACCCTTTCGTCCTGTTGGGAGTGCGGACTGGTGCAGTCACTGTGGAAGAGTATGTAGTTTCCTCAAAAGGTTAAAAATGGAACTGCCTTTTGACCCGGTGATTCCACTTTTAGGAATATGTTCTAAGAATCCCGAAACACTAATTCAAAAGAATATACGCGCCCTGTGCCCATCGCAGCGCTATCTATTCACAGCCGCCAAGGCACGGAGGCAGCCCGGTGTCCGCCAGCAGGCGCCTGGCTGAAACAGCCAGGGACGTTCACACACAGGGGTGCTGCGTGGCCGTAGGAGGAGGGAGCGCTTATGTCTGCGACAGCGTGGGTGACCCGGGGCGCGTCATGCTGAGCGATGTTCGCCAGCCGGAGAAAGACAAGTGCCATGTGATTTTACTTACATGTGGGATCTAGTGAACAGAATAAACTAGAGAAACAGAAGCGACTCAGAGGCAGAGCAGGCGGGCGGCTGTCCGAGGGGAAGGGGATGAGGGGCTGGGTGACAGGGGGGGACTGAGCAAAAAAAAACCTGTTGCAGGCCTGTGTACGACCCTCCCCCGGACTCATTGAAATGCCTGTTGATGGGGCCATTTTAAAAAAAAACAACTGAATAACAATTGCACCTTGTCCGTTCACATTCTTAAAGAACGTTACCTAGAACGTGTTAGGGCCACAGGCCTGAGGTGGCTGTGGAGGGAATAGCCTGCCTCGAGTGCGCCCGCGTCACTGAAACGCCTTCGCTTCCGCAGACCTGCTTGCCGAGAACGGCCGTCTGACCAGCACCCCTGCCGTCGTCTCCGCCTTCTCCACCATGATGAGCGTCCACCGTGGAGAGGTGCCGTGCACCGTGACCACCGCGTCCGTAAGTCCCGGGCCTGGGCGTCTCGGCCTCGTGCTTTTTGCGGGGGGTGGGGGTGCTGAAACCAGGAGGCTGGGGGTGGCTTGCCGCCTCCTTCCGCGGCTCGCGTGAACCTGGCCTTGCAGGGGCCTGCGTGTGTCCTCGGTGCCTCCCCGGCCGGGGCTGCGTAAACGGTGCCAGGAGATAGTTCGTGTCCTGCGGCAGCTGTGAGTGGTGTGAGGTCCTGAAACCCGCGTTTGCAGGCTCGGTGGGGGGGTGGCTGGGAGGCTGGCGGACAGGCCCTGTGGCCCTGCGGGCCTGGCGGAGGGGCTGAGGCGAGAGCCCCCGAGCCGGGCCGTGGGCCGGTGCGTGTGTGGTCCGTGTTCGAGGCAGGGGCGTGCACCCGGGCAGCGCAGGCGCCGTCCTGGGTCGCAAGGGCTGAGGCCGGGTGTTGGCACAGACCCGCAGCCGTCGGCACTCCCCGGGCCCCGCGCCCTCCCCAGAGGTCAGCTTCTCCTTGTCGCTTGGCCCGGGCTCCTCAGTCGGGAGGAAAACCGCCTGCGGGCTTCGCAGGGGAGCGGGGGTTCGCTCCGAACTGGCCTCGCCTGGCTCGGCACCTCTGGCGTCTGAGCAACATTGCAGCGGGGGACGGCCCCGTCCTCTGTCCCCGCGGGCAGGCACCGGTGCTGGTCACTCTTCAGTGACTCCTCCCCTATGTTTTTAAAGGGTGCTTGCCTTTATAAAAGCTTTTTAGAACCAAATAATACTGACGCTTTTGATGTTGAAACTCCTCAGTAAGTGAGTTTCCAATCTTAAAAAAAATACATATACCCTAATTAGTGACTGAGGGCATAGACTTTATAAAGAGACTGGTGTCAAATACTGACCCTAGTCCTCGCTCTCTGCAGGGTCCATGGGCAGGCTACGTGGCCGCTCTGACCCTCAGCTCTCAGGTGAGAGCCGCCACCCTCGCCCCCCGGTTGTCCAGGTGAAGGGGCCAGGGCAGGAGGCTGGCACAGGGTGGGGGCCAGGCCCCAGGACTTGCCCAGAAGGGAGGTGGGCACAGCGTCCCCTGACCTCGGGGTCTGCAAAAGTAACGTTTTGACTGAAACACGGATAGGTTTCACCATCCCACCCCCCAAAAGATACTGACAGATTTTTGCAAACACAGAAGAGGGTGTTTTTGCCGCCTTCCGCCCCCTCCCCGGAAGAGCGGGTAGGACTGGTGGCCGTAAATGACCTTTCCCCAGCGAACCCACGCACGCCCGCCCCGCCCGGACTCGGCTGGGGCAGGGGGGCTGACGCAGCAACCAGCGCTGCCCGGGCGTCCTCGGGGAGGAGTGTCAGGTGACCGTGGGTCTCAAGAGCTGGCAGAGCCGAGGCAAACTGCCCCCTCTCAGCCAAGGGAGTGGTGGGTTGAGGCCGTGCCCCTGGGGCCGCACAGGAGCGGCCGTGGGCTCAGGCCTCACGCTGCCCGCACTGGGGCAGATGGCGCCCTTGGGCAGCGGTGACCCGGGGCCCTGTGTGGCGGGGCCTGCGCACAGCCCTCGACACGGGCACCGACGAGGGCTCGCTCTGCAGCTCTGGGGGTCCCCAGTTGGTAACCGGGGGACGCCCAGGGCCTGCAGGGGCGTGCGGGCCAGGGCCTTCTTCCTTCACGACGGGACATCCCCGTTCTGTTCTCTGAGCTGACAGGAGTGTTTTGTCCTTTTTTAGCCTTTAGATGAAGCCACTCTTTCTGAACTGAGAACGGTCCTGAACAGCTTTCTAAGTAAAAACCAAATACTGAAACTGGAAGTTAAGGTAGGTTTTTAATTATATGGTAGGTTTCTTTAGGTTAATTTAACACTTAAAATAGTGAAAACTTAGATCTGATTATATACTAATTTGCCGATAGTGGGAATTTTACATTTTCAGTTGAAATGGTTACTGATTCCATCCACAATTTGACCTGTGCCCTCTTTTCCTAGATATAATTATGCCTTAAATTTGTGTAGCACATACACTTTTCAAGCACTTCTTAGTCTTTCCACGTGATGCCTGAGGTGTCCCCACGTGCCCACATTCCGCCCGTTTTCTTCCCTAGACCGACCCGTCCATCATGGGCGGGATGATCGTCCGCATTGGGGAGAAGTACGTCGATATGTCGGCGAAAACGAAGATTCAGAAGCTGAGCAAGGCTATGCGGGAGGTATTCTGAAAGAGTGGATTTTTCTGTCGGTGAAAATTCTTCAACTTGGAGCAACAATAAAATGCTTCCTGAATAGAACATACTATGTTTACTGTTTTTAAAAGTGCAAATACAGGGAGCCTTGTTCTTACAGCTTTCATTTTAAAGGTCACGGCCCTTTGGCTGGACAGTCCATTTGTGCGGGTTCTTCCTGGGAACCTAAGGGAGCACGTGTCCGACGGAAACAGTCGTTGCTGCCCAGCGAGGCCGCCCGCCACACCAGCTGCTCAGTGCCGACTGCACCGACTGGGCCACCCCGGCCCCAGCCTCCCGGCCCTGAGCCCGCGGGGGCAGACGGCGGTGCCAGCAGATGAGCCAGCCGCCGTGGCCGCAGCGTCAGCTGTTGCTGCCTGTCTTTAGCTGGGACCCCGACAGCAGTTCTCGGAGCTCTGGGGCGTGCTGGCCAGACGCCAGCCACCGCGCAGGGCCCCGCAGGCCAGGCCTCTGGAAGAGCCGCCCGGGGCTGGTTGGTGCCGGCCCGTTACTCTGACAGGTGTCCTGCCGTGCGCGCTGTGGCTTGGTGCGCGCCTGTCTCGCCGCCTTGCCCTCTGCAGGGTTACGTGCGTAATGGAAGTGTGCCGTTAGGGACAGAGGCCGCGGTGTTCCCTCAGTGGCTCGGAGTGGCTCTGGCCACACGGGTGTCCCCGCTCTAGCACCCGGAAGACCTGCAGGCGCTGACCATGCGACCAGCGCGCAGTGGGGACAGGGCAGGAGGCCACAGAGCAAGGCCTTCTCACCTGCTGTCCCTGCTGTGAACGGCCCAGACTGTGCGGTGGCCCAGAATGTCAGCCCCGACTGGAGCCCAGGACCTCTCCCCGTACTGGGAGCGGCCGCTCCGGCAGCAGGGCCTCTGGTCCCACCAGACAGCAGGCTGGGAGCCAGACGCAAAGGAAACACCTTTTTGCCTCTGAAAATTAGTTATCCTGACGTTGCGTTGCCTGGGAGCAGCGATTTTCAGCGGGTGCCCCAAGAATTTTTAAAATGCACAACACCTGACTGTTTAGTCAGGGACACTGATCTCTCTTCCTGTAGATTGTCAAATAAAAAACGACAGTAGCCATCCAGTGTGAATGAATCAAATCATACCTGTTTTTTGTCAGATCGGCAAAAAATCTTTGTGATATGCCGCGCAGTTTCAGTAGTTGATGCCCTGAGGTGAACCAGGTTGAAAATTGCCGGCTGAGAGGGTGCCTCAGAGACGACCCGGCCCAGGTGTGGCCACCGCACTTGAGCTTCCGAAGCAGAGGCTCCCCGGCCACGGTGCAGGCGCGCCCCCGCCTGGCCGGGGAAGGGGGGCGGACCTCTCGCAAATTCACTCTGCAACTGAGAGTAACTGTTAATGAGCCAGGCACTGTGGTGGTCCCTGTCTCCAGGAAAATTCCACAAATAACAGACTAACAGACGACGTGAGTACGTCCCATGACATAGCAAGCAGAGCAGCTGAGTCTAACGGGCAGCAGGTGTGGCATCTGAGGCTGTGACTCGGAGCCGTCGGAGGGTGCACGTGTGAGCCCCGCCGAGCCCCGCCGCACCCCGCCGGGGCCTCCGGCCTGGGGCGGGGGGGGCGGGGTGCCGGGAGCCCCAGTGCCCTGCCGGTAGTATCCCAGGGAGTGACTCACGGCACCAGAGCTGCGTTCAGGGGTCACCAATGCTATTAGTTACTGGCTCGACCTCTCCCTTCTCTGGGCCACACGACCCCAGGGATGGACTGATGAAACATGGCAGCTGACCAGCAGCCGATGTGCCCAGTCGCTCAAAGCCCACCCAGTCTCCCGCCAAAGTCGCCACCAAGGGCTGTGCAAAGCACCCAGCCCCGCGTAGATGGTGAGCAGGACCCACTCGGCAGCCTCCGGGGGCCTCGCCCGAGTGACGCCCCCGCTCCTGACATGCCCCCCGGCACAGGCTGCTCGGCACTTCCCAGTTGTCTGAAGCTTCCTGGGCCTTGTGATGTGGCGGGGGGTGGGGGGGGACAGGCGACAGCCACTCGACAGGCAAGGGACAAGTGGAGCTGCCCGGGGCCCCGGCCAGAGCCCGGGGGCCGAGGGGGGCCAGCGGCCGCAGCCCCCGGTCTGCACTCGTGCTGCCGCGCCACGGACCCCACCTGGCTCACCAGCCCGCCACTGCCACCGACGGGCAGGGCTGGTCAGAGAGAGTCCCTGTGCCTCTTCCCTCTTGTCCCTGAGAGGCTCCCAACTCAGCCATTAACCCGGCCCAGCTGTTCCCTACAGGCCCCCTCCCGCTGGCCTCCCGGAGGAAACGGCGCCCGGAGCGCAGCCGTCCCAGGGGGCCGTCCCCTGGGCCCTCCTGGTGTGCGGACAGCCAGCCCGGTGCTTCCGGGGCTGCCCTGGCTGGGCAGCGGCAGGGCCCCGCCGTGCGGCTGTGCAGGTCCACGAGTGGCCCAGGACCGCGCCCTGTCCTGGTGCTGGGACCCACGTGTCCTGCGCCGGGCACACCACCGCTCTCCTTGCGGCCTTGGTGGTGGGAACACGGGCTTCATCCTCACAGCCCACTGCAATAACCACCTGAGGCGACAGCTGAGACAAGACAGAGACGCCACTTTGGGGCCCCTGGGTACTATCCCAGGAGCCAGGCGGGGCCCCAGGCCAGTCACCCAACTCCCACCGACCACAGGGCCACCCAGCGAGAGGCCGCGCCTCCCCCCGCCCCCGGTGCCTGGCGGTGGAACTGGGCAGTGCGTGGAGAACGGGGGGACACGCGCGGCTTACGTGGACTGACCGCCCAGGGAGCAGCGTGTGGGCCTCGGCCGGCCCCTTGGCCTCTGGCCGGTGCAGGCGGGGCGGCGAGAGCTGGAGCAGCCGCACGCCAAGGCCAACCGCCAGCCCTGCCCGCTGACCGCCGTGCTGTTAATGGGGGAGTGGGGGGAAGGGGGCCTCTCGCCGAAGCCACGGGACGCTGGGCCCCTGAGTCTCCGCAGCTGAGCCTCATGCGGCCCCTCAGACACCCGGGTCCCCGGCTCACCTGCCTCCTGCCGGCGGGGCCCTGGCCGTGCACGGTCGCTTACAGCCCGGCCCGTGGGCCTCCGTCTCCCAAGATGCGTGGTGGCCTTCGGGGCAGTCCTCTCGCTGCGATTCCTAGACCCCAAATCCTTCCAAGCTCCACAAGCTCCCTGCTCCTAAGCACAGAGCTGGAGCAGGGAGGAGAGACTGTCTCCAGCAGCGCCTCAAGCGGCCGCCAGGGGTGAACCCGGAGACCTCAGGCTGCGGGTTTCTTCAGCGCGGCTTTTAACCGAGGTGGAATTTCAAAGCTGCCTAAACATGTCACACTCAGAATTGTGTAGGTAAACTACAGTAAACTAGGATACGTTCTGACAATGGGATATGATGCAGTCCTTATATATATGTATATATATCTATATTCAAGATACGTGTATCTAGTCTTCCACAACTTGATTTTATATATAAAGAGATCTGATTTAAAAGAGAACAATCGAAACACAAGGGAGGCCATTTACATAAATTAGGTCACTGAACAGGGCCTTCACAGGAGACATGCTCCATGCGCGTGAGCCTTGACTATGTTGGCTACTCACTTCGCTTAGAGAGGCGGCATTCACAGGCTTTACACCAGCGGCTCCTTCCGCCCGCCGAGCTGTGCTGGGGGCCTCGCCGATCTCGGAGAAAACTGAGTATAGTTTGGGAACGTAATTTATGATTTTCTTTGTTTTTAATGACATTTATTTTAAAACTTCAAATAACCACCAAGAAAAACACATAAAGATTTGTATGTTTGTCAAAAATGAGCCCAGACTGGCGTGGCTCAGTGGGTTGGGCCATGTCCTGCAAACCACAAAGTCACTGGCTCGATCCCCAGTCAGGGTACACGCCCGGGTTGCAGGTTCAGTCCCCAATCAGGGCACACGTGAGAGGCAATCGATGTTTCTCTTCCACATCGATGTTTCTCTCCCTCTTTCTCTCTCCCTTCCTCTCTCTAAAAATAAATAAAATCTTTTTTAAAAAATGGGGCCTACTAGTTTAAAAAAGGCATGGACGTGACTTAGGGTCCGTTCTTAAATGCACTCCAATTCAGCTGGGGTCCAAGCCAAGCAGAGAATTTAAAGAACCTGATCCTACTTAGATAAATCCGTGATGAAATGAGGAGGAATCACCTTGAAACCAGAGAGGAGAAAACACCATTGCTTATCCAGGAAAACAGAGGCAGCGGCCACACTCAGTGCTGGGCTTGCGAGCGGTGCCCGGCATTGAAAGTCCGGGTTCGAACGTGCGGTGCTGTGTGTGTCGGCAGCTTCTTTGTGGAAGAGGCTGGAACCGTCCAGAAAGGCTGTGAAACAACCTGGCTCTGCCCCCCACCCCGCACCCCGCATTTCTCAGGCCCCACAACTCAAGAGCTTCTCAAATTCTCAGAAGTACTTGGAAAGGGCCATCGATTTCTACTTTGTGCTGACGTTTGTCCGAAGAAGGCAAGGGAGAGTAGGGAGGGCGGTTGGTTTTGTTTTTTAGGTTTATTTTTGCATAATTTTCCTTCCGCAGCTGCAGCCTCGACGGTTGACTCAGAAAGGAGGTGGGGCAGAAAGAACCCAAAATAATCCACTGTAACCGGGGCGGCTTTTCTCATTTTATTCATGAGCTATGCGAGTTTAAACCGTACAGGTCAAAATGACCGAAGAGTGGCTTGGAAGAGATTGTTCTTTTTAGTTTAAGATACACAGGAACCTGCACCGCTACCACTACTGGCTGAACGAGAGAAAGAAAACGCATAATCTGAGTCGGTAAAATTGTAACATTTCATACATAATAAGGTGCCAAAGAAACACTCAAACAGCAAAACTAACCTCGGCTTCTTTTAAACAAACAAAAAAAAAGAAGCCTAATGTTTGGGCCCTGCTTCATCAAATTTTAGACGAATACGTAATTCCACAACGTATAATAGTGTCTAGTGATTTTCAGAATCCCACTGACAATACATATCAGACAGTGTAGTCTCCCTTTTACGGAAAAGTAAACAGTACCATTTCTCGGCAACGGAAGTATATTACAATCAACAGGACATCCGGGTGGGGG